AAAATAAGTTGGAGATTTATGCAAATGTTTATTGTAGTGTGCCCTTAACTCAATTTTTACTCTAAACTTATTGCATCTTCGCACTTACTTTTCCTCACGACACATCTAATATTGTAGATACGAAGAGTTCCTGGATTTCTATTAGTCATCTGAGTTACCATTGTTGAAATGACTTTTATTTCGTATGAAAGTGCTTTAAGAAACGACTCGAAGGTCGACCTAATGGTAACGTGAGACTTACAAGAATGGGTTCCAACTCTGATGATGTTCATCATATGATAGACGAAAGCTCAGCCCGTTTCCACCCGAAACGACGGTGGATGTCTCGTGGACTGCATTAGCCTGAACATTGTATTAAAGCCAAACGGCTGCAGTACAACAGGAATCAGCCGTCCTCTTCTGATGAGATCGACCTTCGAATTCCTTCTTCATGCAAATTCATACTAAATGAAAGTTTATCCAACATTTTATATTGTTATTACCATCGTCCATAGCATAACTACTTGTATCTAACTTGGCTTTCTTTTCAAGCGATCTAATTAATTTTATTCTCGCACATTTTAGATCAATTCTTCCTTCCAACTTCCAACCGAGCGCACCCTTTCTTCCCATCAGGTTTTGGCATGTCTTAGTACTGAACCCACAGAATCATCAGCATCGTTGGCAAACTCTAGTGCAGATGATGCAGGCATTAATGGAAGTTGCACAAATCTAGGACTAAAACGACGCCGACGGGGAGATCGCAAGGTAGTTGAGTCTCCAAGTGATGTGGCCAACCAGCTTGCAAGCCAGACCATCGACTTCTTCGTACCATATCGACGAGGTGATGAAGACCAAGAGAGTGCTCTTTCAGTTTCCTCTTGCTTGGAACCCGGACTGAACAGTTTCTATGCTGCCGCGTCGGCCGCTTCTCTCGATTTATGCACGGACGAAGGAACGAAGGAACGCCTCGGGTATCGAGATCACTATTATGATCTGTTCTTCAGAAGTGCATGGGCTAATTTTTAATCGTGAAGTCCAATTTTCTA